GCTTTGAGAAATTGAACCCCGTCAAGCAATCCATTTCGAAGCCAAATGTCTTACTGTTTAGTTAAGTTGTAATCATTTTAGGTTTTAGCCATAGTTGTAATCATTTTAGGAGCCAACGAAGGAAAAGGATGCGGGCCAATTTGTGTGCACGGCAAAGAATGAATCCGGCAAACTAACTGCCACATTCACCGTTAAATTTGAAGGTTTTGTTGAATTTCAGACAAATTGTTTTCCAACGTTTAATTTTCGTAGATTTGCTGTGCCTGTATTGTTTTTCTTCACGAATGTTTAAAAAAAATTGAATTTAGTGCCACAAGGTGCTCCAACATTCACCCGTAAGCCGCAGATCTTACAAAAGACATCCGACTCTGGCGATCCAGCAATTGTTTTCGATATTGGATTTCAAGCCGATCAAAATCCAGAGGTAAAATAATATGCTGTTAAAAATGCAAATATAATTGATTGAGAAGAGCCGCTGGTTTAGTTTTTCGCTGTAATATAAGTCGTCTTTTTGCAGGTCATTTGGCTAAATCCGAAAGGCAAGAAAATGAAGGAATCAAGCCGCATTAAGTTCGGCTTAACACCCGACGGCGGCGCAAATACTTTCACTGCCCAGTTGGAACTGAAGGTCAAGCCACTTTATTTTTCGATTATTTTAAAAATTCATAAAATGCGCTTTTGTGGGCTGTGCAACAAAAGAAAAAAGTGCAGTTGTGTGGGATAATTCTTTCTTCGTCTGTTTGCTAATGGAAGGTAAATAAACGAAAAGTGAGTAAAATTCTCTAAAAACCATAATTTATTTCTAGCAGCTATAGTTTTTGATTGAAAATGATCACTGATCCCTTAGGTAACTTAGAGCTGTTTCTGCAAAAACAAAATTCCAGAGAGATTTAAGAAATGCATTGCTACAATGACTTGATGAGACGAAAGCGCTGTTAACGTACCAGAAGGCTTCTTTAATTTTTGCTGCAAACTTTTCAGAACTATAAAGCTAAGGACAGTGGCACCTATACGTGCAATATCAAGAACGAAGCTGGTGAAGCAAACGTCGAACTGACCCTGAACATCGAAGGTCCATTTTTGAAGCTTAGGAGTGGACTGAGTAGTTGTAAATTTAATGCCTATTTTTTAGCTTACTCTTAACGTCAGTTGCGAGCTCTGCATTAGCACATTCCCAAATTGCTTACTTCGATGCTGAA